ACTAGATGATCTTTAAGGTCCCTTCCATACCAAACCATTCTATGATTCTATGACTTCCAGATTGCTGTTACAAAATTTTATGGGGAAAGTAAGCAACTAATAAATTAAACTTAAAAAAAAACCCCAAACCTTACACAGAACAAACCTTTAAGAAAAACTCAGTTTTTGAGAGAGCTGTTTACTTCACTTATGATGCTTTGACCACAAATTAACATTGACTTCTTTGGAGAAGACCATCCTGATACTTAAAAAACAGATGCTTTTGAACTGGGGGCTTTCACCTGGCTTTGGATGTGGAGGAGAAGGAAGGGATTTGTAGTGTGCTTTCGTGTATGTCAGGGTTAAGCAAGCAAGGTCAGTGCTAATCTGGAGCCTTAAAAATCTTCAGAAAGCCTTGACTTTTCTATTGGAGATCTTTTAGACAAGTTGACAATTCTCTCTCTGTAATACTTGTTTTGACAGAGCTCAGTTTTCTGATAGAAAATTTGTGTCAAAATGTTTTCATCTGGCTCTTAATTTTTTTTTCCTTTCTTATCACTATTGGTTTCCAGTTCTTGTTTTTCCTCTAGTTTTGAGTGGAAGAGAAGATACATTTAATATTAAATTCCAAAATTTTTTACTTTAAAGGTAAAGAAGCTGCATAAAATGAAAATAACGGTTTACGTCTTAGATCCTTTCTAGCCTACAAAACTGAATCATGCTTCGTGTATTCTCTGGCTTACTCCTGTCACCAGAAAATACACTCTTTGAGCTGTAACAGCCCCTCATCAGGAGGGCTCGCCACCAATAATGGAGCTACTCAAGGGATGCTGATTTCAAGTCCAGTGAAATACATACATACACCACTGTGAACTGTGTTCCTGGAATGCAGTTGATAATCTGGACAGCCAGAAGCTACTGAAACAAGTCATGTGTCGTTAAATTGCAATTGGCAAATTGATTTATAATCATGGTGGCTCAAGCAACTTCCCTATGCCTTGACATGATGAAATATTTACTCAAAAACAGGAGACTCAATTGCTTCATTCAGAAGTTTCGGGAGATTTTTAACCTATTTTCTCCGGTGTGAGATAAATTTTTAATTAGAATTTGTGTAATCCATGAATGCTCTGCTAGGTATAGATTAATGTTTTGAGATGACCATGCACCAGTTCTAATTTAGTTACTTTAGATGTATCAAAAGGCCAAGCATACTCCTTTCTCCTTTTTCCTTTTTCCCTGCTGTCGTGTAGCAACAAAAACTTTTGTGGTATTTATTGTAGATAAGTAATGGGTAAGAAATATGCAGTACTTAAGTGTAATTTGACAGCAAATGTGATTTGCCTTACATATGATTACAGGCACTGAATGGGAGACAGGTCCTCCAGTTTTCACTGAACCAGAGTAGCAGTTTCACATTTTTTAATTTTTATACAGTGCAGAGCACTATTTTTATTGAAACCATGTTCTTAAATAGGTAACAAAATATAGACAAACTGAAAATAAATAATAACACAAACTACAGTAATGTTTTTAAAGGAATTATTTTATTGTACAATTGCCTGGTGGATTGGGGAACAGGTGCATAAAATAGCAGGTAATATCCCAACAGCAAAACAAGGAGTAGAAGGCAGAGATCTGTGATAATAGTGAAGAAAGATTCTTGATAGACAGGAGTTATTGAATGGTCCCTGTGATGGTTTGTAGTAAGTACTGCCTTAATGTAAGACAGCTGGGTTTCCCCACAGGGTTTGAATAATTGTCCCCATGGGGAACAAAGTGCTAAGCTGCATGTGTGCCATACAGTGCAGAACTGAATCATTAGTAGTAACTGTTATGCCAGCACTTAACCTAGTGTGATGGGAAGATAACATATAGAAGGAAATTCTATAGCCAGAAGGAAAAAAGGGCTTTATTTTCCTAGCACTGAAAGTCTGTCTTTTCACAAAAGCTTGACTGATAACTGCGATCAGCTTGCTTCAGCTACTGTAAGAGTTCTTGGATCAATGGACTGCTGTCAGTCCTCATAAACTGCTGTGCGCAATCATATACTCTCTTAAGTTTTCTCCTGTCTTTCTTGGTTCTGTGGACCAGCTGCAGGCTATTTAAAAGTACCCCTGAGCCACTGTTTAGAATGACAGAAGCTTAGTAATTTTTGTTTCACTTCTTAGGCTGTCTAATTTTGTAGGTAGAAATGGAAGGGAGAAGAGCCAGCAGCTTTTAAAATCAATGAAACGGTGGATGCCATGACAACCAAGTTCCTCTGAGATACTGCTATATAGATATTCTAAATAAATGAAATTCACTTTTTTTTTTTTTTACATTTATTAAGGTTGTATTAATAGCAGTTTTTTCAAGAGATTCAAACCTTCTTTTTCTAAAGGAGGTTGGAGGAAGTTTTTTTAGAATTCTTTGCCTTTTCCTGATTTGTTTTTTGGGAAGAATTTGTGGTGACTACTGATTTTCCTTGTTCCTGAATACAACATGCTTGCAATACACCAGATGTAGTAAATTCAGTTATTTTACTGTCACTTTTTATAATGGTAATGGAAAGAATTATTGCCAGACAGCCTGTTTTCCTTTGTCTCAAATTATTTTATACTCTGAATATAAAATATGATTTCATTTTGGGCATAAATGCAAAGCTGGTCTTAGAATGTGTGTAAGGGACTTCAGAGAATTGGCTGCTATTCTGTAGGTCTTGTATTTTTTTATGGTGAAATGCAACATCAAGCAGAATTTTAAAAAAATTGCTTAAATGTTGGTATTAGCTGATAATTGAAACAGTGTTTATTTCGCATATGAAGAGTTAATTAAAGAAATCACACTATTCTAGGGTTGTCAAGCCAGCTTGCAATAGTGAATATTGAAGTACATGACCAGAGCTGAAGAAGGTTTTAAAAATGAGAAATGCATCATGATGCACTGGTATTGAAACAAAATTAGTTGTGGAACCAAAATAATTGACAACATAATGTGATAATTGCAGCTTGTAAAATGAAGACAGGCATTTGGGTATCTGTGCCGATACGGAGCAATTACATCCACACGTTAAATGCATGCAGGTGTTTAGATGTTAATGTCAGCTTTGTTTATTAAATCATGCAAAATTTATATTTTCTAGGAAATGTGCTCTCAGTGGACAAAGTAAGTCATGCAAGCATAGAATCAAATTAGGAGATTCAAGCAGTTATTACTACATTTCTCCTTTCTGTCGTTACAGGGTAAGTAGATTTACTGTGATTTCATTTTGAGTAGTAGTTATTTAGTTATTTTTCCATATTATTATACAAAATTATATTAACCAGCATTATTTTTATCTGGGTTCAGATCACTTCTGTGTGTAACTTCTTTACATATATTCGATATATCCAGCAAGGGCTGTTGAAGCAACAAGATGGTGAGTAGGAAATTGTATTTGACATATATAAGAAGAAATTTACATAGTGCATGTGCCTAAAACTTGCTGTCTGTACACAATAGCAGTGACCAGACATTACAAGAAACCTTTCTGTTGGTAGTCATTGTTGTAATTATGAGAACTGGGTGATATCCCACCTTCCAATAAAGTGGGGTTTTTTGTTGTTGTTTTTTTTAACAACAACAACAAATTAAAAAGCAGTGATTTTTAGTCCATCTAGAATTTGCATTTGTAGCTTTATGTAAATACTTCAACAATACCTTGAGAAGAATGTAGGTACTCATGATAATTGTCTGCATAATGTGTTGCATGTATTTCTACTCATGCACCATATAATTTTTGAGACAGACTTTTACAAAAGTAGTTTTTGAAATATGGTTGGGAAGACCTTGTACTTGTTGCTCAGGTTAATAATCTTTTTAGTCATTCTGCATCATGATCCTAACTGCATGGAAATTATTTTTGTCTTGAATAATTATATAGTTGACTTTGATTTGTATTTCTGTGGTGTCTATTGCACTAGGCTCATCAAGTTTAGAAAAATACAGATTACATTTAAAAAAAAGAAGTCTTTTTTTTCTCCCCAGTTTACTGCTGTGGGCAGATTACTGTAGAAAGGGAAGAAGGAAAGATTACAAGTGGAAAAATTACAAGAAAATTACAGATTTAAACAGTTATATAAAAAGTTTTACACATGTATGTTTAATGATATTTCTGTCTTTTTTAGTGGATCAGATGTTCTGGGAAGTTATGCAGCTGAGAAGAGAGATGTCACTAGCAAAACTGGGCTATTACAAAGAAGAGCTCTAAATCTTTTTATTCTTGCGTATGCATGAACTTATTGAATATACATAACTAAAATTGCTGAATCTTTATTTGTCACTTGATATTTATTTCCACAAAGTGGGTCTAAGATTTTTCTCTTTTTGCAGATTGCACTAAGAAGTACTGTGATTGTTTTAAACTGACTTATGCTGTATATGCGTACATATAATACTTAGTTGAACAGATGTGGTAAGCACTTGCAGGTGTATTAGTGATTGTAATTTACATTTAAAAACAAAACTTCTGATTAAAGTGTTAGTCTGAAGTGTGTCTGTCTTCTGTTCTTGGTGATGCAGAATGATGTGAACCTCCCTGATAATTCATTCTAAAATGTAAACCAGGTTATTTTATGAAGAGGGAATAAATGCTGTGACATTTGTTTCATTGTAGTGTTTAGATACATGTATGTATATCTCTATGCATATATGCCAATACAAGATTATATGTGCCTGAAAACACTTTGCAAGTGTTGGCTTTGACCAGGCATTTCAATGTTAACATAAACAATTGAACCTAAATGTTTTACTAGAAGTGGAGCATATCCAGCCTGGGCTATTTCAGTACTGATGAAATATTATCAGTCTTGTGTCACTGGATTCTAGTTCCTACTGTAGAAACCTGCAAGAATTCTACCTTTGTAAAAAAAAATGTGTATTATTTCAATAATGCTAAGGAAGTCTGGTTTTACTCACTCTTAGAAAACAAACCATTTGTTGGTATTATGTTTTATGTTAGGCTCATAAATGCTTCCTAAATGGCTGTTAATCCTTAGTTTACGTAATGAAATCAAACAGTTTCTAGGATTAGCTAACAGTAGTTAAATGAGAGCTGGTAGCTGCTGCTGTTCTGATTTAATAATCCTTTGCAAGTGTAGCTCATTCAAGCAGAGAGAAGAAGACTTTCTATAGATGTTAGTGTCAAGACATAAATGGTATATGAAGTTTATTATACTGAGGTGATTTTTTTGTACTAGGGACTACAAAGATATACCCTGTCTTGTTGGTAATGGATGTTTGGCTCGATTACATCAACATCTTGTAAATACTGTTGGGCTTGCTTTTGTCTTCAAGTCCCTTCCTTGAAATTTTTTAAAATATTTTTAATATAAGCTGCCTAGCATAAGAAACCTGTGTCACTGTGAGCATCTGGGGCTTGTAAAAATTGTGCAACAGTTACTTGTCTGGTGAATGTAACTATTATAGAAAATGACCTTCTTTCCAGACATCTTTACCTCACTGAAGCTTTTATTCACAACCAAATGCTTATTACAGATGCCTTCTCAAAATGTCTGAATATTTTTCTCCTCTTTGCTTAGAAGTGACAGAACAGAGGCAATTTTAAGTGTACAGTGATCAATTTAAAGTGAAATAGGGTTTCATACTAGCCTTAAAAGACCTTTGTTCAATGCTCAGCTTTCCCATATGTTTTTCAATGGTACCTTAAACAGGTTAATCTGAAATTTATTTTTGTTAATAATAATAATGTAGAAGTTCTGCTTCCCTATAATCAAACTGCTGAGATACACTATTTTTTATTTTATTTTTTTTAGAGCAGTTGGATAGTTTTATGCTCAACTGATTAAATGGGGTAGTACATACGATGATACTGGTGACAGCTTTGCTCTTGCATTTTTGATTACCATTGCTTTCATCAGTGGTATAAATTATATCACCTGTGTGAAAGTATAGAGACAAGATAAGTAATGTTTATTGCTGCATTTTGTTGCGCATGTGTAATTATAGTTCATACTGGGACCAAAGGTCCTTAAAACAAGAACATTAGACGTACTAAGCGGAAGAACACACATCACCTTCATCTTGCCTCAAAAGCCTTGTCAGATTCTCCTTTACGTGCAGCAGAGTGTAAGCATAGCCCTGGCTGTAGTTATGGAGTAATGAAAGCAGCTGGGACAGTCATTGAAACCTCTGACAAAAACATGGTGTGTTCCCTGGCACGTTCATGATCATCTGGAAGAGAGACGGTGCGTTTTTCTCAGTGGGACTCTTCAAGCAGTAGGAAAGCAAAACAATTCTTCTGGCTTTTCATGGATGTGGTGGGAGAAAATGAGGCCTTGCAGCAGTTCTTTGAAGGTAAGAGTCAAGTTTTAAGAGAGAGTCTTAATTTCAGAAAAAATACAGTAATTGTTTGGGGTTAATTGAAGAAGAAAGGAGGAAGAAAAAGAACCCTGAAACCCAAAGCTGTATTTACACAAAGCTATCATATAAGGCGATACCAGAACGAAATAGTACAAATGGTTCAGGTGTACTGCTCTGCCTTTTGCTTTGTACTTCAGCCAGAAGACCAACAGGAAGGTGGACCCAGCAGAGTCCACAGTACTGCTGCTGTGACTGCCAAGAAGAAAAATCAAGAAGTGACGGGGGTCTCCTTGCAATTTATCATTTCTCAAGTCTTAGCGATTTTTGTGAGGTTAAAGAGCTCACTCCGTGCTCTATCAAACCATGTCAGGTTAAAGAGGGTTTTCTTTCCCCTGATAAATGGCTTGATTATAACTGGCAAAATGGCAATTGTGGTGTATCCTTGGGATCCTTCTGGGAAGTTAAACTCAGATTTGTTTGTCTTTTGTCAGGATCTGTCCTGCCTTTTTCCCAAATACATTTTACATTTAAGCAAGGTACCATTAGTCTCCTGCCTTTCTCTTACCACACAATTTACTTTCTAATAGATTCCATGATTGCATTTCTCAGCACCTGCCGTATTGGGATTCAAAATGGCTGTTCAAAGGCTTATATATTTTTTACTAAATCTTTTCTTTCCCTTCCTTCAGTTTACACTGTGTTTTGTTTGTTGGGTTTTTTTTTTTTTAATATTAACCTTTCTATTCTGAGCTGCTCTTTCTGTATTTGTTTTCCTTTTATTACCTGTGCAGGTATTAATGTGATACAGATCTCAGAGTAACGTGGAAAACTACCTTTTTTGTTTTGGATAATGTGGGCAATTTTTGTTTCCCTGCATTTAATTTCCACTGTGATAAATAAGTGATTTTTCTTTTCTTCTTTTTTTTTTTTTTTTTTTTTTCTTTCTCCTGGTACTCTGGTCTTGGTGAGAGGTAGCAAGTCTTAACTTTTCAGTTTTAATTTCAAACCAGGAAATTAAAGATTCTCCAGCACTGATCAAGAAAATGTATTTAAGCTAAGAAATTTAAATCAGTGAACCACAATCTGGGGCTGCTAGCCAGCAAATGTGTTTGTAGATGTTAGGAAATTCATACCATGTTTCTTAAGTTCGTTGTAAGTCACGGGGATCAAAGCTAACAAACTTCCTTGGCTTTACTTTCAGCAACAAAATGTTTGGTTTTTATCAAGCTATTTGTTCAAGTACTGCATGGCATAGCTCAATTTGAGCTATGCAATATTTGAGTTAAATACTCAAAATAGTGTCGGACATGAATTATATTAAAAAAAAAAAATCTTAGAAAATTTTTTAGGAACTGGCTTGGAAAACAGGACTTTCTAGGGAGTTTGGGCCGGGTGCTGTTGGCTTTTGTGACAATGATACTTTGGTAGAGGTATCTCAAATTTTACCTGTATGAGCTCTTTAACTAGAATTACTAATTGCAATTCTAGAATTACTAATTTAACTCTTTTTAGAAAGTAGTTTGTTAGAACGTCTGTCTGGGCCAGCGTGAGGAGGAGAAGCCCTGTGGATTCCATTTGATTGCAGGGACAATGGAACATCTTGGGAGGTTATGTTCCTTCAGTAATGTTGTGTGGGTCTGCTGTGTAGCGCTAGAACACGACAAACGTCTGCGGGTGCTGTACAGGGATGCTGTTAGATGGATGAACTTCATTGTCTGGACACTGAGATTAGATGTGTCAATGCTACAAGAACTAATCATTTTTCATTCAGCGCATAGTAGCTATGCTGCTTTTGCTGTTAAACCCTAGGTAAATCTGAAAAGGGAGCAAGCTGATTTAAAGCAGGGTTTGCACTCTACAAGCAGGGGTTAGCTTCACTGAATGTAAGGCCAGCTTTAACTGATGTCCTCTCTCCAGCTTAGCACTTTAGCTTGTGGGTTGGCTTTATAATGCCACCTCATGAGGTGAGAGCAATAAACTGCTAGTTCTAACCTGGTGGCCTCCAAGATTAGTCATAGCAAGGCTGGAACAGTCTTTAAAGGCTAACAAAAAAAGCTGAGTCCTGCAATATCAGGTGGGGAGTAAGTCTCTCTGCTTCCTTAGTGGTTCAGTTTTGGCTTCCAAATGCATCAGCTGGCAGCTAAGCACATTTATAGACTGTTTTGTAAGATAATTTGAAATTCATGAGCAAAAAGGATGCTATTTTCCCTGTTGCTTTGGTTCCTTACGGTGCTTATTTGTTTTGACACTCATTAAGATAAACTTATATTTGCAATATTTAGAGGGAACACTCTGAAATAAGAGGTTTTTTTCAAGGCAAAAGAGCTAATGTTTGTTTTCCTGTTGATCACTACTTTCAATAGTCAGTAGACCTCTTAGATTAGATACGATTCTGGCGGGGATTTGACCTTGGCTTTTTCTCAAGAGTATGTGGCTTTTCTCTTTGTGTGGTGTTCTGGGAAGTCCTTGTCTCTCTCTTTTTTTTTTTCCTTGACTCATTTCATTCTTCCCACACTAGATATTTCACCTTTGAACAGTTTTTCCTGTAATTCCATTGAAATTGATACTTTTTAATTAAATACTTGGATTTTTTTAATCAGTAACTTCCTATTTGTCAGGGGAAGGTCAGAGCTCCTGATTAGCTCTTGTGCCTAATGTAGCAGAGCAATCTATTCTTGCTGACATCATCAATGGGTTGAGACACAGAATGAAGGCCAACCTAGTTACACTGTTAAACTCTTTTTGTTCTTGTTGTAAGGTACATTGAGGTGTCTGAAATGTGTGTGTTTGGTCTCTGTGCTCTTTGTGATCTAAAGGTGGCTCTTAGGGGAGTCACCACCTCTCTATATACTTATGCTCATGGAATATAGTTTAGAGCTCTTGGGAAATAAGTTAAGCTACAGAACAACATGCCATCAAACACAAAACACTTAAACCCCAGAAGTGTCTCATACCATTTTAAGGATGAGAGATTGAAACAGGAACAAAAGATTAAATGAGCCATCTTAAATATTAATGATAAGACTTGTTTCTCTGGAAAATGCTACTTTGGGGAAAAGCCATCTATCTTGATGCCAGCTCTCCTTACCAGCTGGAGTGCGGTAGGTCTGCCTGCCACTGAATAACCCTAGGCTGTGGTGTGCCCTGGCTGGCTGCAGTTCTGCCAGCTG